TTTAATTTGGACCAATCAAAAACTTAGATTTTTATTATTAAAATTTTTTTGACCAATCAAAATTTAGTTTAAAAAAATAAAATTTTTTTAAAAAAAAATTAATTTGAGTTGTATTACCTATTCTAGCAATCTGATTGGCTAATTTAGATTACATTGCATATAAAAAATTGAAATAATAGCTAGTTAAAACTTCTTGCACCATACTAAAAAGTAACTATAATGCAAGTCAGGTTGACCCATATAAAGCACAGAGAGTTTAAATAGGTAACCTATAGTTGGGTTATAGGTATGGTATCTAGAGTAGAACTTAGTAATAAGTAAACTACTTAAATAGGCAATCAAAAGTTGAGAGCTTAGCATACAGTAAAGTTAACCCATAATTGAATAAAGAGAACTAGCCAAGAGGTCATCTTAACACCAAAAAAAAATTAAAAAATAATACAAGCCAAAATTTTAATAAATTCTGAAATATTTCAAAAACTTATAAGCAATTCTAAAAAATTCTCATGCATATGAAATTTGAAAAAATCAGAATTTGCATATCACTAATTGTTACTATAATAGAATTGGAATTAGAAAAGATGAGTATAAAGTATTTGATAATCTGCTAATATGAAGAATGCTATTGTAATAAATTATCTTAAAAATGGTTATAAATATGAAATTAGTGTTGAAAGAGATGAATAAAAAGTTTTTATTTATTTTCAAAAATCTACTAATATGAAAAATAATAATAGAATATTTGAAGTTGGTGAGTACTATAAATTTAGAATTGGGGTTGAAAAGGATGACAATAAGATATTTATTAATTATCAAAAATTTGCTAAAATGAAAAATAAAGCAAAGATTGAAACTTTTATCACTGGGATCATATATATTGAAAATAATTAACAAATTATTATGATTTTCTTAGTTCATATATTTATTTATACATTTAATTTAATAACTAAAGAGAAATTTTGAAACTAGAGTAGCTTGTTTGTATAAATTAATTCTACTGCATTCAAATTCAATATTTGCAAAATTATTAATCATTTATTAGCTACAAATTTGCTAATTGCATATGATATTAAAAATAAATCACAATTTTTGCATATAGATTTGTGTAGACTTGGTGTAAAATATATAAAAAAATAATTAACTAGTTTAAGCCAAAATTTAAAATCATACATAAATCAATATTATACTAGAAATTATTATAAAAAACTTATTGCCATCTTGATCTATATATATAAAACTACTTTATATTACTATATATATTGTTATAGTATATAAAAAAGAATTCAAAATTTTTATAAGATATTTTTGTATAAAACTAATAAAAAATAATTAAACCAATATGACTTATCATATTACTAATATTTTTTTCAAATAAAAGGTTATTCAAAAAATAACTATACTGCTGTAAATCATAAAATAATCTAATTCTATTACAATACAAATTGTTTATTTAAAATTAATATTATAAATAATAAAACAATGGGTAAGATATAAAAAATCTGAAGTCTGATAAGATTCATTCCTTATAATTTCTAAAATATTTTTTAAAGTATTTGATCCTTGACTTTGAACTTGTATCTATTAACTACTATATATTCTCAAGTAATATATATACATAACTTGAAACAATCTAATATAAATTTTAAATAATCTATATATATAGGTAATCTAAAGCAACCTAATATGAATTTCAAGTAATCTGAAAAATATAACACATGGTTAGTATATAAACAAGATATCAACCTGTAACTAGTAATATACCATTTATATAATACCTGAAAAATTTTATATATAGTATTAGCAAGTAAATGGTTAACACACATATCTACAAACAAAAAGAAAATGATAGTCAGTTATTGGGCAAAATAGGTAAGACTACAGATAACAATATTTAGTATAGAAGTAAGGTAAATAATAATTTGGTACAGGTCTAAGATATTTATTAGGTATCATTAGATAAATAAAATGATATAGTTTTTAATAAATATTGTAACTTGGGTTTATTAAAGAGCTTTTATTAATAACTTTATTGTATAATAGGTACTCTAATTTGATAAAAGAAATTCAAACTCTTATTTATAACAAAATTATAAGATAAGAAAAAATTAAGATCAAATATTTTTTCCTATCTCTAATCATTAAACTGTTATTAAACTAAAGCCATTTAATTCTTTTTTAGTTTAATTCTAATTCTTACTCATAGCCATTCTCATTGAAGTTTTGATATAATAGAAAAAGAAGTTAAGAAAAAGACAAGTCAAATAAAAGCTGCTATACTGTTATTATTCTTTATCTATTAATTCTATTCATTTATTGTGGTGGCTGAAGCTGAAATTGGCTGAAGCTAAAAATTTGACCTATTTTATTATAAAAATTTAAAAATTTTTGGGGTACATTTTTTTGACTTTTTTTTAGGGTTAGGGGTCAGCTTTATGGGTAGAATTTATAATAAACATGTATAAGTGGGTTTTAGTAGGTTTTATGAATTTAAATTGAGACCCCAAATTTTCAGCTTCAGCCGATTTCACGATCATCCCCCACATTTATTTATTAACTCTCTCATCACACCATATACTTTTTTTTTTTACAGCCACATACTTTATCTGACAAAGTAATATTACCTTAACATATATTGAATATTTTACAATATTTCCTATCTTAGGAATTGACCATATTTTATATGAATTTTAAAAATTTTTGGGCATATATATATTTTTTTTTATGGCTAGATTAGGAATCATGATTAGAGTTGTTAATAAAAGAGTATATGCGGATGTTTGTAGACCCAAATTGAGACCAAAACCTCAGCATCAACCGCGACAATTATTATAAAGTTTATAATGAAAATTGATTTTATAAGACATTGTTATTTATACCCACATTGTCGTTATTTACACCCTCTTCATATAAAGCATTATATTTGAGTAACATTATTGTTTATAATATCGAATTTGAAATTCGGAGATTAACGTGTCTCAGATTGTAAAAATAGAGGTATGAATAACAATTATGATACCGTTTATTTTTCATTTTTAATTTTTATTATTCATCGTTTATTCTTTAAAAATAGATTTCTCTATATGAAACTTAAAAACATATATTCTGAAATTTTATGGATGGGCAATTTGACCTCGGTTTTATAACATTCACCTTGATCATAATGCTACTATTTGACCAAACCGGTTTGACGACAAAGTTTTATTTGATCAACAGTTTGACCAATCCTGAGTAAATATAAATATTATCTTGCATTAAAAAAAAATTATGTTTAGAGAAAAAAGGAAATGCAATTATTAAAAGATAAAGAGAATTAATCATATAAACCATGACATAACTAAAGGCTTAAGTAGTAATTAAATATAGATAAAATACGTATAACTAGCAGCATATAACTACAAAACATCAAATATAAAAACATATATTATATTATAAAGCATATTGTTGATAAAGTCAAATTTAAGCATAAAAGAAAAAACTATCAGCATAAAATTTATGATGCTTTTAATCATAATTAATTCTAATTTTTTTTATTCATAATTAATTCTAATTTTTTTTTATTCATAATTAATTCTAATTTTTATCAATCCATTTAGTTAGAACGTTTTCAAGTTCTTCAATTTTCAAAGGTTTTGCGAGATAATCATTTATTCCTGACTCGATACATTTATTTCGTATCTCTTCCACTGGTAAAGCTGTTAAAATAATGATTGGTATATTTGAAATTGGTGGATTCATTGCCCTAATTGTTTGTGAGACTTCAAAGCCTGACAACATTGGCTAAGTATAATAATTAATGAATTGTAAATATTCCATCATGATAGATATAAGCAAACGAATTCGTAAAAATAAACTTACTAAATTATATTCAATTAAAATTAATAAAATTTTATGAGACTTTATCTGATCTATGTCTGAATAGAATGAACTTGTGGAGTATGTATCACTTAATAATTTAGATTTCGAATCAATCAATTTGACTGCATCTAGACCATTAGTTGCAGAAATTGCTGAATAACCAAGTTGTGAAACTTTTTGCAATGTGTTCTAAAAAAATAAAAACAGATTAGAAAATTAGTAAAGAATTAATAAAGAATGTGAGTGAAACCATATTTTTAAATTTATAAATTACCTCTAGACTAATAGAATTATCATCCTACAAAAAAATTTAATATATCAAAACAACATATTAAAAGGTATGCTTTTTAACAAAAATAAATAGAAACGAGACAATACCACACATAGAATGCACTTGTTTATCTTAGAATCACATTCTATTATGCCTTTATATAGATCTTGATCTGCATATTCAGACTTACAAAACCTATAATCTGCTACTCTCTTCAGAATATTTTCATTAACCTGCAAATTCTTATTATTTTTATCAATAGTGGAGTAATTGCCTTCCATACACCTAAATAGATTAATTAACTTTGTCCATGTAATTGGAGTGTGAAGAATACTAGTAGTTCCCCCAACTTTTCCAATTAATTTTTCGGCTAATTCATTTTCTACATTATTTGAAAATACTATAAAGATTATTACTAAACTATTATTACTTATTTCTAATTCTCTTAATTCTAATGCTGCTTTTATAACCTCTTCATCATTATTTTCATAAAGTCCAATAAATACTATATCATAAGCGGATTGATTATATAATTCTCTATAACTTTTTGCTGCGCTAATACCTTTGTCAAAGGTATTAAATGCATCAACTTTTTCAATTACCTTAAGGTAATTCAACAATGAATTTCTTGCATCTTCAAGTGGATGAATTATTAACATTCGTTTTTGTTTTATAAAATTAGGTAATATATAACTTATTTGATCAAAATGAATAGTATTTGATGATAATGAAGGTGTTATTGATAATAATTCAACATTCCATGTAAACCAAAATTTACTTCCTTTTCTTAATTGACTTTCTACTTTAATTTCTCCTCCATTAATTTCTACTAGATTTTTACAAATTGAGAGACCAAGTCCTGTACCATCTTGTGCCTTTGTTATTGACATATCACCTTGTGAATAACTCTGCCATGCATGGTCTATATATCCTGGTTCCATGCTATTATTATTAAATAAATGATTAGTTTATATACTTAATATATAGAATATATAATATTATATAATATAAAGATAAAGTATATCTAATATAGAGTATACAGAACTATAGAATATATTATCTTACCCAATGCCGGTGTCAAATAACTCAATCAACAAATTTCCTTTTTTAGTAGTTTGACTATAAGTTGATTTATCTTTGTCTTCATCAATGACATCTTGTAATTGCACTGAAATTGTCACTACGACTTTACCCTCATCGGTAAATTTAATTCTAAGAAATTAAGAATAATTCTTAAATGCAATTGAAAAATAAATAAA